AGAAAAATAATGAAGGAAAACTTTCTCGCAAAGGAGAAAAACAAATGCTGTCGCTTTAAATCGGAACTGAGCATACCTGGCTGCGGAATTCTGGGAGTTGAAGTCCACAAGTCTAAAAAAATTTGAAACCCCTGTGTCAGTGCCTCACCAGCCATAAATCTCACCGGACGTCACTGGTTGGCAGTGCATAGGCCAAACCCAGCCCTTAATTAAATGCATTGATGCTGCAAAAACATATGAAGGGTCAGGGCATTCATTGAACTGCTGTCTCCACCATCTTGACTGTTTTGATCCTACACCAGAGGTGATATTCAACCAGTTCCGACAGGTTCTGTAGAACCGGTAGCGGAAATTTTGAGTAGTTGGGAGAACCGGCAAATAGGCTGGCCCCGCCCTGCTGCCTCCCAGCTTATCTTCTTTTGTTGCCCTGAACAGGAGAACGGAACTGGAAAGCAGGTTAGTGGGGTGGGGAAGGAATGGGGATTTTGCAGTAGCCTTCCACTGCCACGCCCACCAAGCCACACCATGCCAACCAAGCCACACCCATAGAACCAGTAGTAAAAAAAAATGAATCCCATCACTGCCCTACACACACAGATGATGATGCTGCACTAATCACAAACCACAAGTTGTTAAAACTAAGCTACATTTCCAGAGGAAAAGGAATTTGAAAAATAGAACAAGGTCATCCTATATGGAGAATTGGGATTTTAAAAAAAGGTTGAAATGACATTGGTTGATAAATTTGAAGAGGAGATAGCTACAGAATGGGGAGGAAGAAGATTCTGCTTTTCAATTTCCTGGTTGGGTCATCCTGTTGATTCCCACTTTCCCCAAAACACCTTCTCCATCTCAATCTGTCTCTGAAAGATCAATAAAGTATAAATAAACTATGCCATGGATTATAGCATTATCTTACAACTAATATATAAGAAAAAGCTTTCCTCCTGCCCCAATCCGCTCTTTCTCTTTCCTCTTCTTAACACAAGGATATTTCGCTTAGCTCTCACTTGATAAACTTGGTAATCATTTACTAAATTGTAGATGCTGAATTCTATGACAGTTTGATGAGTTTTAAGTAGAAGAAGCAATATCTTATTTTTCCCCCCCAACATCATTTACTATGGTTTAGGTAAAGAAACAGTAAAGTGATCTGATATTTAAGCCTCAGGCACACATGAAACTCAAATAACACAAACAGGAGTAGCTTACATAATGTGGCATGCCTGATAGCATGGATTGTGTAAGTGCATGAAAAATACCATGAACGTAGGAAATTTTGGCAAAGATACTCCTGACGGTGGAACTGATGGATGGACTCAAGCTACTTTGAACTGTGATAGGCAGCAAATAAATTTGATAACAATAATTTGCCCGCAAGAACTGGCGGAGCCATAAAGTCACAAGAAATGAAGAAGCTAAAGTGCTCTGAAACTTTGGAATTCAAACTGACAGGCAACTGCCACATAACAACCCAGACTTATCAATTATTGATAAGACAAAAAAGAAATCCCAACAGATGAAAACGTAATTAAAAAGGTATTAGAATGTGCAGAAATGGATAGACTAACACTGACAATTAAGGAAAAAAAGGACACTGAATACTTTTTGACATGGGAACTGTTTTATCAATGGTTGGCTAATGAAAACAGAAGTTAGAAACATGGAAATGTAAGAAAAGGACTAATGTTATAAGGGATATTTGTTAAAGTGGATAAGCAATTATTACTATAGGATTAATATCAATGTAATGACTACTGCTGTAAACATTTTGATTATTTTCTAAAATTAGATGTACCCAGAACAACACACTGTTCAGTTAAAATTGAATTTTTTTCTATCTTTTTTTTTTTAAACAAAAGACAAAAAAGTCTGGATACGGACTTAGCAGTACCTGGAGGGAGAGCAGAAGAACTGGAAAAGATAATAAAATACAAATACCTACAAATAGTAATAGAACAACTATGGCAAAGGCAAGGAAGGGTAATACTAATAGGCGCCTTGGGTGCAATTCCAAAACAAATGGAGCACCACTTGAACACCATCGGCATTGACAAATTCGTCAGTCAATTGCAAAAGGGAGTTTACCTCCAGCAACAATATCTCCAATATCATCAAACATCAACATTTGCCTGTCCCTGGGAAAGATTCTATTGAACAAAGCAAAATAATAAAAAATGTGAGGGGCATTCCCACAATTAAGGGTTGACTCACTGTAAATGTAGGGTAACTGGAAGAGCATTCCTAGAGGGTGGGGACAATTCCTAGAGGGCAGTTTGATTGACTGACCTATTAAGAAATGCAAGAACCTCAGAAGTATGACTCTATTTGCAAGGAACTGACCAGCTTGCCAGTCAATACAGAATACCTAGAAAAAGATTTGTGAAAGGCCGATTGGCTAATGGATCCACAGTGAGTTGGATTAGTGTACTGTAGAAGAAAGAGTATGCCTTATATTCCAGGTTCGATATAACACAAATATGAATTTTCACTCTCGTGAAAACCTGTGTCTCAATTTAGAAACACACATATCACAAAGCACTCACCTTCTCATGGTTAATCTCTTAACTCTCCCAGTTCTAGAGGTCATTCTTTCTTCCCTGGGAGGCTCTGTGGGATATGTGTCACCTCCATGTCTACTTTCAGTGGCGGTAGAGCTCTCTCTCCCCCTCCCTCTCTGTTTTTGTGTGAGAAAAGTCAACAAGGAAGTCCTTGTCAACAATATATTATCCATCTGACAGACTATTATACTGTAGATGCTTAGAAGGGTCAAAAAAGCATCACTCCACACACATATTACCCATAGTCTGTAAATGCACACACAAAGCCAAACAAAAACACTCGTAACTATGGCTTATAGCCCACTATGAACCCAATATTAAATTGGGGTCTTGTGATAGTTTTCCATTATTTAATGAATATACAATTGTGTATGTTTGTCACAAAATACTGTCACAAATAAGCAAATCACATGTTGCATAAACCTAGTCACTATGATTAATGACCAGTGGTTTATGCCTTAACTTTTATGAATTCAGCCAATTCCTTTAAGGAACAGTCCTTAAAGAAAGCGTGGCTTAACACAATGCTTGAATTCAGCCACTGCAACCCTATGGATTTTTGGTTTAAAAGTGGCACTTTCAATATGAATGCTCTATTTAAAAAAGTGCAAGAAATGGCTGGTGTTTGGTAACTAAAGGTCAAAGAATTTATGATTTCAGTGAAGTCTAGAAACAAATTAGTACAGGAGATTACAAAACATTCTGCAAACACATCCACAGATAATTTCTACGTTTATTTTTATACCAAAAAAGTTATGTGCAACAAATAAACATTCTTACAATATTTACATGGTTTTAATTCCCCTGTTAGCAAAATTGAATTTCAATCTCAGAATATCACAGTCCTATGTTGAACCAAAAAATAAAAAAATAAGAATGGAATGACTCCAATCGAAATGGAGATGTTTTGGAGTTCGAAGCACATCAAAAAGTTGTCAGATCAAACATACGAGACAGAACACACATTGAATATTTAGGCCATGCTTAATACATTTTTTAAAAAAATGGAAACGGAATACTTCATCTTTTTTTTAAACTAGTTTTACTAGGTCATGTTTAATCGGTCTTGAAAGAATCCAAGCAAATGTTTAGTTTGTTTTGACCATTTTTTTTGTTCATACAGATCAGGAGATATTATTTTGCAAAAAGAAAATCATTTTTGACTTTGCTTTGAATCAGAAAATTCAAAGTAATTATTTTCTTAAACTTTCATCTCATTCTGGACTAGAGCCCACTCTGATATTTTCCTTGAAGAGTCACCTAGGTTGAAAAATTCCTCTTCCAAGGGTGTGGATTTCTCTTGCTACTTCTCCTTGATTCCTCCTGAAAATCAAGTGACAGAAACCTTTTCTGGGAATGTATATTGCCTAGATGCAATGGAGCCATCTGCTTCATGGATACATTTTCTGGTATCTCAAGAAAGCTGTCATCCATTCAAAACTGCATTACAAGCACTAAGAACCATACTGACTCCCAGGTATGAAGATTTCTAAGAAATCTTAGAAAAAGGGCTTATCTGACCTATGGAAAACCTTGATTTCTTGGAAAAGGGTGTCAGGGCCCTTTCTTCCTTCTGAACCATCAAGAAGTGGGAGAGATTTGGGGTGGTGGTGGTAGGGAGAATTAAACTGATCTTCAAGAAAATTACCTCCTGGGACACTGTTATTAAAAAAACCCAAACTTTTTGTCACTGAAAAAATTTCCTTCCTTCCTCACTGGCATAAAATTAGAAGCAACTTGGGTGATGAGACAGAGCCAAAGAGCAGGGGCTCTTAGGCTTTCCAAATAAAAAGAAAGGAATTGGGAGCAAAGCAAGAGTGAAAGCTGCACTTGCGAAAAACAGGGACATGCAGCATCTTCCATCATCCATATAGGTTTGGGAGTATGGCCAAGCAACCTAGTAATATTGCCGCCTTAAAGAGAACGAATGACCTTTGTGGAAGAAGAGGGAAGGCAGCAGAGAGTGCACACCTGCAGGGAGATTTGCCCACCGCCTGCTTGCTGGAGGGCTTGCAAACATTACAACGCACAAGCAGGGGAAGCTCCGCTCTGTTAAAAAAATATTGGCTTGTCTAATTTGGCCCTCAGCCCAAAGTGTTTCAGCTGCCTAGGAATTCTGGGAGTTGTGAGGGGGGGTTCCCAACATGTCTGAAGGGGACCTGATTGAGAACGAGTCATCCAACACAAACTATGGCTGCATAGACCATTTGAACACCACGGAATACTAATGAAATTGGGAGATGGGGGAAGAGGGGTACAGAAGTCAGGATTTTGCTTCAAAGTACACAAGGTGACCAATACCTTCACACCTCTGTTCTTGAACAAGAAAAAAAAATAAGAGTCAACATTTAAAAGGTGTTGACTTAGAACGAGAAATGAGCAGAACAGGCAACTTTTCAGCAGAGGGAAAAATGGTGTCTGCTTGCACTCCCACCCAAGAAATTGGGGGAGAGGGGAAGTCCGAGGAAGAAAACTACAACTTCCTTGTATCCCCTATAATTGATACTGGTATATAGGCAACTATGCAACTTTATGAGCTGCGGACTTCAACTCCTAGAATTTCAGAGCCTGACTCAGGAATTCTGGGAGTTGAAGTCCACAGGTCGTGAAGTTGCCATCGTTGGCCACACCCCGGTATAGATAATGGAAATCTCTACTTAGAAAGATAGAAAAGCCCCATCTCATCTGCAGACATGTAAAAAAATAAAGCCTCACACTATGTTACATTAATGTCTTAAAATAAAATTTTATCAGTGAGGGTATAAACTTGAAAATATTCTCCACATACCAATGTAACAAAAATTGTAAATTATACTCCCCCCCGCCCCCATCAGCTCTAATTTCAAAATTCAAGACAAGCTTTAACTGTACTCTGGTTAATACAAAATGCATTTCTGAGAAACTTTTTGACAAGGACAACAAGCAGAATTTAGTGTTTTTTTTTAAATACATATATACATACATATATATATATATACCGTAAACACCTGTCTTCTTCCATTAGACTTGCATTCCACCATAGTTCTGTACATAAACCAACTGGACTGTTCATTTGGCAGGCATTTAAATACTGTCAGACATCCCATATTCAGCACATGTTGCTCCCATTGGAAAATAAAATCCTGCACTTTTACAAAACATTAAGAAGAATTGCATTTATACCTTAATGCTGATTTTCTTTTTAAAGAAAATGACACACAAAAAAAGAGGACCCCTTTAGACGCAGGAGGAGGAAAGGGTTTAAACGCAGACTGGAATTTTAAAAGGGAGCTTTTTCAGGAAGATCACTCTTCTTGGGCATAAGCAGGAGCAAGCATCGATGGTTAGAAAACAACAGGATTTAAGTTTTTGGCAACAATGCCCTTTGTTGTATCCTGGATATATTCTGGCCTGACCCGAACTTTTTAGTTAGCCCGTTACGACCCAAGTGCACGGCAATCTCTGCTATAATAGACACCAAAATTTGGTTTCTACCCTTAATATAAGTCTTCCAAATTTCCATCATGTGAGCAGGAGAACAGTCTTAATGATCTCAGGGAGCCCAACTGGTGAATACGCATCACAAGAAGTTGCTGGCAGATTGCATTTTGTTTCCAAAAGCTGCTTCAATCACTGAGCACTCCTTTTCGATCCTATCAATCCTGTAACTCCTTCAGTCTCTGGAAATTTCTGTCACCTTCTTGCACTCCAATGATAAGCAGGCCGCTGCAACAGGTTCCTTGATCTGCCATTGCAGGAAGAAACACGGCAATCTTGCTAAGGAGCAGCTCTTCTGGTTTGCTTGGAACAGCTATGGCCCAGCTGTCATATAAGAAACTGCAACGGTTCTCCAAGGCCTCCTTGTCATATTGAGGCATACTGAGAGACCCCTGGGTAAACTAAGCCCTAAATCTAAGTATAGCAGACAAAATTTTATGTTCTGAGAAAAAGCATCTCTTTTTAAAGAACTCCAGCAGGAAAAGCGGAAGTCAGCATGGACTGCAGAGCTCAAAGCTGTCCTAATCAAGACAGCAGCCTGCCTTCTCAAAAAATACCCCCAACCTCCAGGTATGTCCTACAAGGAACCGTTTGTGATGCCAGAGTGCCTTGGTATAAGAGCAGCCCAAGGGATCACCTTCTACATACTGCAAAGGTCTGATTCATCAAAAAATACCCTTCTGCCTGGTAATTTCAAACACCCCCAATATTTGGTTTGTAAGACAGAAGGCACTTTTTTAATAAAAAAAAACACTGCATTTTATGACATATGAATGGGAAATTATTTCAAGTTGCTCGTTCAAGTAGAACCATGACTGACTCTTGGGCCAATTTTTTACCATCTATTTCCTTTACCCTAACTGGGGGAGGAAGAGTCAATGGACATCTCCCTAAGCTTTAGCCAAATTTCTACATTTGAAACTGCTTTAGCCAAATTTCTACATTTGAAACTGCTCTGCCTCTACAGATATAAATCTATTTCTGTCCATAATCTGGGTTTGCTATACGAGCTTCACTAAATGAAGGGGAATTTCTCAGGAACATCAAAGCACCCTCCACTGACATTTCTTTATACACTCCCCCGCCCCTCTTCACTTCTGTGGAACCTATGTACAAAAAAAGCTCACAGAGGGACTGCATCCTAATTCTTCAGTGCATTCATTTACCCAGTGGGTTACTGGGATCCAGTGTCAAGTTGTAATTCTATACAGCAGCTAGAAATATTATAATCAAATTGGTTTAACACTATTGGGCTGTCTCACATCTTCTGAAGTACACAGCCAATTCTGCCCCTCAAACTCCCATTTGTACAGGCTTCCTACTGATGAGGTCTGGGCAACTCAAGGTGCCCCATTCCCCTTGGTAAGCATCCCTAGACAAAGATTGTTTCCGTCCATGGAAAACAGTTTGGATGTTGCAAGGAAACCCAACTTAGTTCAGGGTCATTTTTTAATGCCACTGAATTCCTTTTCTTTAAACATATCCTGGGGAAAAGGCATATTGGCAAAGATCTTTTGTTGCAAATCTTCTCCAGGGAAACAAACTAATTTTCAATTTACTTTAAAAAAAACCATCTCAATAACACAATGAACCATTCTTCAAAAGTTATGCTTCAAGTCATCACTTGGCTGAGCTGTGCTGACCTTCTTTCTTTGCCAGGACTTAGCCAGTTTTTTCTACCACTATGCACCAAGTTGTGGTAAGTGTTTTAGTTGCATCTATGTGGTCAAATTCCCTTGGCTACCAATAGACATAATGTAAACAAGGGCAATGTTTCCCTATGGTACCTATAAAGTCTAGAATAATCATGATCTCCCAGTTAAAGACTTCGCCCACCTCAATTCACGCTGAGATGGGAGACTTCCTATAGCCCACCTGGAATATTTGGGGAAGGGTAAAGAAGGAGTAAAGAATATGCCTCTGTGGACTCCTTCAAAGTAGAGTTAAAGCTTGTCTCTGATCAGGTTAAGACTTTCACAAACAGCTCCTCAGCATAGCTATTGACTGAGAAGTTACCCAGGGCCCCTATCCTTTGAGTCACTCTAACTGAATTAGCTATGATTCCTGGGGAAAGCAAGTGATATGAATAATAATTTAAAAAAATCCTTTTACTGTGAAATAAAGATAAACGGAAGCCGGGCCTTCAAACTGTCAGTCAAAATTTTGCAAAGCAGTTAATCCTGTTTGGGTGGGAGCTGCCGTTTCCAGGCCTCGTTCAAGTATACTAGTCGTTTGTAGTTGATGATCAAGAGAACGAAGTTCAGCAAGTATGTGATGACACAGACAACGCAGAATTCCTTCAGCACAAAGTACAGAATGTAAGACAGGTACAAAGATCCTATTACTGACACTATCGAGGACATCATGAGGACCAGCGCTGCTACTGCACTTGCGGTCATACCTGGAAGAAGAAGACAAGCAGTTACTGTGGGGGCTTCCTTTTGTTACAAGCAGTTGTCGATCAACAAGAACTCAGGGCAAGGGGCTAGAAGTGCACAATGTGGTCAAACCTGCCTGGTACCATTTCAAAGTCTTGTTAGTTCACTCAAGGAGGAGGTTTCTCCTCAACTGGAAGGCTTAAGAACCAATTAGTAAAACGCTGTTCACTGCATGCTGATGTGAAGGAAACAAGCAATGCCTTTTTCCACAGAACTATTAAAACTGGAAAGGGCCGGAGACCTTGCTTCATGCCAGAATCCAATGTGTGGCATTCCAAACCAATGACTGTCCGGTCTCCACATGAGCACATCCATTGAAAAGGAGCCCACCAGTTCTCCGGGTAGCTGATTCCACTCGCAAAGTATTTCCAAAATGCTGCAAACACCTACAACGTCTAATTTATGGATAATTGTTAAAATACAGCAAAGTTCACTAGCTGAGCAGAATTTATGAGAAATTTAGATACATGCATAAGAAGAGGTTTACCCATTGCTGTTCATAATTCTGATGAAATGGTAATTCCAAATTTGGAGGCAGACTGCCTCTACTTTTCTGTTGCTAGAATGGAAAAGAATGGAGTCCTCATGCCCTCATCATGGACTTTCCCAGTCCCATCCGACTGACCACTGTAGAAAACAATCTACTCTCACTTAGAAGGATCACATGCTTTGGATGAAGCACTTATGGCTGATGGTTAGTATCAGAAATGCCAAGCAAGCAGATATCCATCTCTCCTACCACCCTAATTACACGGTACACGTTCCTTCTTTCAACAGATACATTCCCAATTATTCAGGCGTTTCAAGACTGTACTATAACTTAAGGTTCTCATTAGTTTATATGTTAGCAGACCCATTAAGTACAGTCTACAAGAAAAAGTGCCAGGATTCTGAGGCCACTGATTTTAAGAACTGAAGAAACATACAGCAGCTTGCCGATCTCTTCTGGAACTAAGGTTAATACAATGCTGTGTGGGCATTAAGCACGACCCACAATTAACTGCAATTTCCCAAGTTTATGTTTGAAAAAAAGGGGGGAGAGAGAGGGGGAAGAGAGAGAGAGAAGAGGTGAATTTGCAGGCTGGAAAAGCAGCACAAAACTGGGAACAGGAGAGGAAGACAACTGCATGAGACCATGAACAGTTCCACACTCTATTAACTGTCTTCAGGAAATGAAGTAACATTATGACTGGGCTCAGAAAATGTAATTAAGCCATTAAGCCATAAATTAAAATAAAATAAAATATGTAAGCAGTCCAGAGTCGCCATATAGGGCAGGTGGGCAGCATAAAAATGTTTTAAATGAAGAAAATTAAATAATAATAATGGTTCTTTTACTATAATACAGTATGGGAACCCAGTCACTATGGTATATATAAATACTACAGTGAGTTGATATGTGAGCAATCCACGATAATTAGTCAACAAACAATGGCTTAGCATAAAGTACGAAATCTAGTTTTCATACAAGTTATGAAATACTCTCTTCATTATATTAAATATGCATTTTCATAGGGTCTGCTCAGTTATGAAACATGTCTGCCCCTCTTTGAAAATCCAAATTTTACTTCATAACAGAACTAGAAAACCGGTGAAGAGGCTGAAGCAGAAGATTCTAGGACTCCTTCAGGAAATTCATACACACTCACTGTGGGTACAGGTGCCGTGTCTCAGGTGAAGAAGAAGATGCACAAGTCATCCCTATATTGTTTTGCACAGCAACAATGTCATGCAAACAGAGAATGGATCCTGGGCCCACAACCTGAAGTCTTGACAGTAGGGAGAGTAGAAGAGAGGGAGTGGGAGGATGTTAGAGGCAAGGGCAGACAGGGGTGAACAGGGGCAGACACTGTTACACACACCTGCAAACACACTCACAAAAACAGCACTGGGTATAATGCATCATGATTTACCTGTGCATAATCATTTAAAATCTAATTATTAAGGTTTTGGGAGAAAGAGATGGGCTTATTTTTATTAGAATTTTCCAATCTGGTTGTTCAGAGGGCATTTTTCTTTGCCGTCATCTAGGAGCAACTAAAACAGTGGCTATTTGCAAAAATCTGGCCTGGATCTAGAGTAGACACACCATGGAGAAGATTGGGAAGGGAATTCTAGCTAACATATATAAGGGAAGGAAGTAAAGAGGAAACTGATTATCAGCCCCACTTCTCCAATGTTGATTTCCCCACCACCACCTTCCCCCAAAAACCTCTGCTTTGAAATCCCTGGGAATTAACAACTTGTTCCAGCTTTGCTTTAGGATCTGCAAGCACTGTTGAGAGGACTGTGAACATGACTTAGAGATCACATTTGTCAGGCAGGCATGAATTAAATGGGAGATTAGTGAAGCACATGCTACAATTGTTAGGACTCAATACATATTGTACAAGATTTTGATCACTAGACTGAAATAATCACCCACAAAAAAATGTATATCCTGCCTTTTTGCCTAGAGGAGCAAAACATAAGGAAGAGGTAGGTGGGAGTGAGAGATGATAGTCTGCTACTTACCAAGCAACATTTGCAGTATATAGAATACAAGACCGAAAACGCTGTTTGGTTGATTTATTGCACTGTCTTTTCCAAAAATGGAGCCTAGCAGGCCAAATCCTCGACCCCATCTGAAAGAAAACAGCCCATTAAGTCTTAAGTGGTAAGCACTTGCTTTAATAAAAATACAAATCTATACACACAATGCACTTATGTACCCCCCTTCACTACGAACAAGTCAGGTAATAAATATATAGCATTATAGGATGGATGGATGGATGATATTCCCTTCTAATTTATTGAACATTCAGATTATGCTAAATCTTGATTACAAACTGTGGCTAACCAAACAATCCACAATATATAATACAAGTAAACAATAAACTATACTTATTAAAGCTACTGTAATAAATGGTTATTAAAGTGCTAAAACACGCTAATCTAAAACAAGACTGTCATGCTAGCGTGATGCGTGAGCCCTAATACGTCACAAACAAAATGCTACCTATTATCCAACTAACCTCTCTCTTTAGCAGTGCAGATCCATTCTAAATAATGTGAATCCATCACCACCAATGTAAAGGAGAGGAAAAATCTAGGCAAATTTCACTTCAAATAGCAACTATTACTGTCACCCAGTTGGCTTTGGGTTTAAGGTGGGGACTAGAACTCACAGTCTCCCAGTTTCCAGCCAGAGTGCCTTAACCACTATACTAAACTTACTTTCAGTAATGAACAATGGTCTATAAAATTAATTTTAAAATGCCTGGTTGTAGAGTACTTTTCTCTTTTCATCATAACATTTCCTATACACATGCAGACTCATAATGGGACTCCATATGTGACTCAGCAGGCACTCCCCTCCCTCCCCCAGCTCAGAAAGCTTAAATCAGAATACAGGTGAAAAGCAATAATCTGCAGAACTGAATACAGAAGTAAATGAATCATCTGCTTATATCAGCCTGAATCCTGTTGAATGTATGACTAACTTCCAGATAGGCTAAGCACATTTCTACATTTCTGAAACCAAGAGCCAAATGGATGGGGAAGAAGATATGGGTTGAAAGTAGGTGTGCTTGTTTTTAATGCAGAAGGAATCAGGGATTTTAAAAATGTTATCACAATTTTTAAAAAAGAGAAATACAGAAAAATATACAAATTAAAAGAAAAGTGTAAATCCAATGATTAACAGATAAAGAATCCTAAGCATTAATATACTAAATTAATATAAATCACCTAAATAGAATATATATATTAATCATACAATAACATTATATCAAATTATGCAAAGAATTGTGTCCCTTCTTTTATAAGAAGGAATTGGATTTAACTCTTAGTATTTCAACTGAAATAGGGCTTAAGAAATGCTGTGTTTTAGGAGCCTGGGGATCCTTATGTGAAGAGATTTGCCCACTTTTAAGACAGTTGGAGATTTTGTTTATAGAGTTTTTCAATAATTTGGGGAACTGCATAGAAAGAGGCTCTAGAGACCATATTATGGTTTAGAGCAAAGTGTCATTCTAGCCTTACAGCTCTTTCACAGATTTGATCTTTGACATATGAAAGGGGGTCAGGCTTCAAGGCAAGGAGACATTTTCCCTAGAAAGCATGGAGACACAATTCTATTCTTAGTAAAAATGATATTAAGGGACTAAATTGAATACTGAACATTCAGAATCAGTATACAAAAACTGCTATTTGTTCAGAGACCAGAAAAACCAGTTAAATATTTCCAAAACTATGTGCCATCACACCTCTAGATTAAGAAGTAGTACATATCTGATTTTTTTGGGGGGGGGGGGACCAGTTAGACTGGTAGTTTTTAACTAAGCCCTACTGCGGAGTCTGCAGTGTCTCTGTATGCTGGTTTGTGTGTTCTCCAACACAATTCTCACAACGCTTCACTGAACGTACTCGCTCTCCCAACGGGGAGCTTACCTAACAGTTTTCAATCAATGAAAAGGGGAAACAAGAAAGGCAAATTGATTTAAACACACCAATTTTAAAATATTACTCCAAGAAGTTTGCATTACTGGTTAATTCAGTTATCGCATTCATAGCCTACACTGTGTGAATGAGTCTAAGCCACCTGAACCCTAAAACATGGGGCTTGCCACCCAATTCAATGAACCTTTTTGAGAAATGCACAAATACTGGCAACTTGGCATTAATCATGCACTGGGTATACAATATATACATACACCTGTGTAAAATAGAGCCCATAGTTCTGAACTTCGTCACACTTTGTGTTATCCTTGACTGTTGGCATAAGAGTTTGACTGCTCAAGACAACAATGCACAATGCCACATCTTGCTAGGCCCACACTATCTTCGGCTTGAGAACAGAATGTTAAAATTGATTTTTAAATTAGTGCAACTTTTTAGAACAGTTGGGGACAACCATTAGTAAGCAACTGCCAACCATAAAATGTAAGTCAGATTGCTCGTTGGTAAACAGCTTTCACCTGACTAAAAACGTGAACTGCAAAATAACTGTGCCACCCATCTATTCTCTGCTCTCTTCTACCCCATCCTAGGAATTAAAAAGATGCTAGTGAAGTAACACATGTTTTATGTATAAGAGGCACGCTTTGATCCTGGCAACTCCAAGGAGAACAATTGCAGATGGGAGGAATAGATGGTACATTGAATAGGGACACTGTTTAGCTGTGCAGAATGGCTTTCAGTAATGTGGCTAACAAATTCATTAGTAATGGTTTAGCGTGCTGGCTTAACTTAGCCATCTGGGGCTGATTCAATAAATCATGATTATGGGAGTTTAATACAAAACTTCAGCAGCGGATTTACAGAAGGTTGAGCAGAGAATACTGGGTAGAGAGATCCAGTTGCCAAATAGTTTTAGTTTTAGTTTACTTTATTGTACCTTGTACAACAAAATTAAATATATGATAAGGCAAGTTCTATACTTATATAGTGTATTTATTTGACATATACCGTATTTTTCGGAGTATAAGATGCACCTTTTTCCCTCAAAAAAGAGGCTGAAAATCTGGGTGTGTCTTATACACTGAATACAGCATTTTTTGCCTCCCCAAACCCTGCCCACTTCACCAAAATGGCCGTGCATAACATTATGGAGGCTTTCAGAGAGCTCCTGGGAGCTGGGAAGGACAGAATTAAATGAAAAACAGGCTGTTTTTCACTCAATTTTGCCCCCCCCCAGCCCCCAGGAGCACTCTATAAGCCTCCTAAAAGCTATGCATGCATTTTTTTGGGCAAAAAACTGGCCATTTTTTGCTCGTTTTTGTCCCCCCACCAGGAGCATTCTACAAGCCTCCTAAAATCTATTCATACCTTTAAAAAAAACAAACACAGGCACATTTTTGCAAAAAACGGGCCATTTTTGGGAGGTCTGCAGACTGCAAAAACCTTTTTTTTCAATTTGCCTCTTCAAAACCTTGGTGCGTCCTATACTCCGAAAATACGGTATTACATCTTTTCTACATTTGTACATTGCTCGACTCCCAAAAACACTACATAGTTCACAAAGGAAAAAAATACAGCAGTAAAAATAAGGAAAATGATGACAAAAAATGCAATAACAAAGCATACCCATTCCTTGAAAGGGCTTCCTAGCCAAAGGCCTTCTGAAACACAAGCAGTTTGAGGCCCCTAGATGTTTGGGAGAACCTCACTCCAAAGAGAAGGAATTAGATGTGGCCGAATTTATATAATCCAACTATCTTGAGATTGTTCATCAGTCCTACTCAAAGAAAATCCATGGGTACTATTCAAGAGAGCAAATTAATTGCCTTTGGGCCATGTAAGTATAGGGTCTTTTTACAAAACCTTCTGTTCAGGTCAAAGCATATTAACACATACATTTTATGGTATTGATAATAGATTAGTTTAACATCTAAGTGAAATTTTCTCAATGGTTTAGCCACATTAAAATTAAAGTGGTTTGATTTCTGAGTAGGCCTCTGTGATTGAATTGTGAAAGGGGTTATATGCAATGATCTCAACAGCTTTTAATGTCTGTGGTAAAAAAAAATTGGAGTTGAAGTGAAGAATTGTAGTGAAATGTCAACTTCTGGTCCAAAAAACTCACATTATCATCTGAGTCCAATTCTTTTATGCAGACTTCCATGCCACTGCCAATTAATAATGCTTTTCCAGACTTCTGCCTGGATAACTTCAATTAAATTCAGGAATATTAATTATTTCATGAACGTATCCCAATCACTGTTAAAATATTATTTTTCTCCATTTGAATGTATTTTATTAATGTTTATATTATTTTTAACTGAGTTGAATTACAAGAGAATTTCTAGATTCCTCAGTAAATTTATGGAGAGCAAATGCATATCCAAAATTTGGAGAAAGGCAGCAGACATGCAGTGAAACAAGGTGAGTACAGAATTAGAAAAATACTATTTGATGAAAAAAGCAAATGAGCTTCCTAGATTTATTTATTTATTTGAACAGCCTACTTCAGTGCTGCAACCACCAAATGTGTTTGGACTGCACTGTTCAACATTTCCTAACTGTTCCACTAGAACATTCACAAAGTAGCTGAACAAACTAAACTGTGGCCCAACTCATTAGAAAACGTATATTTGAAACTTTGTAATAGGTATGCAAATAATATATATTTTGTCAATGTTACAAAGATAACATAAACATCAGCCTCACCATAACCTAACAAACAGATAACAGAGGAGGACCATCTGAATATGAATATGATTTTCCCAGTTGCAATGTATGGCTGCGAACGTTGGACCATAAAGAAGGCTGAGCGCAAAGCATTGTGGCCTTTGAACCATGGTGCTGGAGAAGACTCCTGCAAGTCCCCTGGACTGCAAGGTGATCCAACTGGTCAGTCCCAGAGAAGATCAACACTGACTGCTCTTTAGAAGGCCAGATCCTGAAGATGAAACTCAAGTACTTTGGCCACCAAAGGAAAAGGAAGGACTCAATGGAGAAGATGCCGGGAAAGATTGAGGGCAAAAGAAGAAGGGGATGACAGAGAATGAGGTGGCTGGATGGAGTCACCGAAGAAGTAGGCATGAGCTTAAATGGACTCCAGAGGATGGTAGAGGATAGGAAGGCCTGGAGGAATGTTGTACATGTGTTGCAATGGGTCGGACAAGACTTTGCAACTAACAAC